TTTAACTTTTACAAAAACTTATTGAGAATTTCACACATGCTTATAAGATGTTTTGATCAAATCCATGCCCACTCCCTCCCCTCCAACATTCCCCCCTCTATAGAGATAACCCTAAAATCTTTTAAGGATTAGATACAAGCTCCCAAATACTTTTGATATTTTGACATTTTTGGCCTTTGGAACAGAGTGTGTTGCTAACAGGCCCAAGGACATTTTGACTTTTAGCCAAGAAACTGGCTACTTTTCTTTGGGGTCTTTTTACCCTAACTGCCTAGCCAATTCTTACCTCCTATTCTTATCACACCATCCTCTGAAGGGGTTACCCCAATTGCCAATAGGGAATAGGGATGCAGACTGCTCTGGCTTCTTCCATGCTAAACAGGGATGCAGGGTGAGGCAATTGGGAGTAACCCTTCAGTGAGTCTATCTAAAAGACTCCCAAATTGCATAACTCGTGTCTCTAAGGGGAAAAGAAAGTCCTTAAATCATGAATAGGATATGTGAATTTTTTAAATGATTACAAAATGGGCAAAAGTTCTATTCAGCCCTATTTCTCCTAGTTCTAGCTGTCATTCTTGGGGACTGTTTCTCTCCTACCCAGACTTTCTTCTCTTAGCCCCTCTCCTATAGCAACAGAGCCAAGCTAATCCTCCTTTGGTAATGACTCATGTTTAAAAGGAATCATGCTTTTCATCAGCAAAACTCTCCTGCCTGGCATGCATAATATTTCAGGAAAACCATCTGGAAACTTGTCTATAATTAGCTTGATGGAGTACCCTTCCTTCAGTAGTATGTACAAGACGAAGTACTGCAGCATGTGAGCCTAAAAGAACACAGCTCTCCTGGTGAATGCCAATAGGAAATAATCTGGGGCACTGGAGCCTTTAAGATTGCACATGTGAACTCGTACTCCACTGTCTCTTCCTCTTTGTCATAATCTTCTATCTCACTGAGCAACTTGTCTCCCGCTGCATTCAGTGACTCAATTTCCCTTTCTCTTTCTTTTTCTCATCTTCTCATCCATTTCTTTTCCCACTTAAAAAATAAAAACATTTATCTTAAAATGTCCACCATGCCCTCTGCCTAGGCTCTATCTTTGCATAAACTTTAATACAAAGCCTTATACTTTTTTTCCCTGAATGAATGACCCTGTAAATCTTTTTCTAATGTTGCTCTTTTCCTTGAGATTTGTGAATAGTCAAGCTTACCATCATCTCTCTGGCCATTGTGATTTATCCTTCCTTTGAGACAGTCTCCCTATACAGTTCCAAGTACTGTAACTCACTATATAACTTAGGTGGGCCTCGAACTAATGGCAATCCTCCTGCCTCTACTTCCCAAGTGCTAAGATTAAAGATGTACATCACATACCCAGCTTTTCTTTTCTATGCAAACTTTAGTTTGTAGGAAGTATCACATATGTTCCCACTTCATAATACCTTCTCATTGTTCCTACTTCACACAAATCTAAATTTTTAGATAGAAACAGAGTCTTCTCTTAGTAATCAGAAGGAATTCATTTGGGGGTCTTAATTTTCCCATTTTTAGAGAAGTTTTGACTAGGTTATAGTTTATCATATAAAAGTTTGAATACAGATCATAGAACAGTTTTATATAACTCTTAAAATTGCTCTCATGACCATTATTATGTGCTTTCAATTTCTTCTGTCATTAGATTATTCCACATGATTGATAACTAAGTTTATCACCTTCATATTATCTCTAATATTTAGCATATTGTAGAGACTTTGAAGATACATAAATGTTTGTCATTGAATGAATAAATAAGCAAAGAAATCTTCCCAGCATTGCTTTGTGATTGATTTTAATAATTAACAAGGAGTTATGGAGCATAACACTTGTCTCAAGTTATATAAATATAAGCATGAAGATAAATTTATATTTATTAAATAAATCCATTGAAAAGTGAATCGTGTAATAGAAACTATTCACATAAAAATTCAGATAAAAAAGTCAGACTACTTTGAAGAGACTTCCTGAAGTAAACAGAGTATTTAAGACTTCTGAGGTTCTTAATGAGTTGTAGAATTTCTTCCAGTGTCTTAACCCCTTCTGGAGAAGGAAGATCCAACACCAAACTGTATTTTATATTCTGAAAATGGAGTCCACAAAAGCAAGAATTTTTGTCAATACTATATCCCAAACTTCTGGACTGGTATCTGACATTCTGGGCATTCAAAATATTTACTGAATTAATAAGAGCAATTCAGAGGACAACTTGGGGTCATTTGCATACCTTCCATAACATATTGGTTGACTGTTACTGATGCATCATTGATGGCATTAATTACCTAAGCTCCACCCTACATGTTACTGGTGTCAGAGACTGCCTATGTATACTCACAGGGCAAAAGTAATATCTCTTTTGTATCCTGACAGGCTATCTGAAATCTATAGTGTCAGATTCATCATAAGATTTTCATTTTCCCATTTAAATACTGTGATATACATGTCCTTCAAAAATGTTCAAGACCTAAACCCCAGATCTGTGAATATTATCCTATGGCAAAATCTGCTTTGTGGATACAATTGATTCAAGAATTTTAAGATTTAAGATTTATCATTGAACTGCCCAATGTAATTACAATGATCAATATAAGAAAAAACAGGAGAGTCAGAGTGAGAGAGGAGGTGAGATGACAGGAATAGGTGCTGGAGCTGTGCCTTCAAATATGCAGAAAAGGCCCCAGAATCAATAAATACAGGCGGTCCTTTAAAAAACTGGAAATTACGCCGGGCGTGGTGGCACACGCCTTTAATCCCAACACTCGGGAGGCAGAGGCAGGCGGAGCTCTGTGAGTTCGAAGCCAGCCTGGTCTACATAGCGAGTTCCAGGTCAGCTGGGGCTACAGGGAGACCCTGTCTCAAACAGAAAAAAAAAAAAAACTGGAAATGACAAGGAAACAGATTCTTTTCTAGAAACTTCGAAAAGAATAAGTTCTCCGGACACTTTAATGTTAGCTGCAAAGAATATCACCTTTCTGGTAGAGTTATAGCAGTGCATGGATATGTGGGGGTGAGAGGGTAATGGGTGGAGTAAGGGTTTGGACAGGGCGGATGTTTTAAGCCAATAACTTTGTGACAATTTGTTACAAGTGCAATCGGAAACTAATACAAAAGCTATTTCTAGAACTGGTAAAATGGCCATTTTCCAATTTTCCATTTCAAATGTATTTTGAAAAAAATATTTTTTATGTCATAATATTTCTTATCTTTGGAGTCAAGTGGTTGTGCAGACTTATAGTAGAAGATGTTTTTATCTCATCTGATCACACTTCATACCAGAAGCAGACTTTATAGAAAGTGAATATTAGTTATAAGTTAAAATGGTTGTTTCTATTTGGAAACATATTAGATGCCTTTATTGACTTTGTAATGAATGATTAAGATCTCATAATTATTTTTTTTTATTTGAACCTAGGTCTTCTGCAAGAACAACCAGTGTTCTTAGATCTCATAATTATTTTTATTACAGAATTTCCTTACACAACTATTTCTTTGGGTAGTTAAACAAGTACAGGAATAACCTTGGGATTTAATGATAACCCTAGTTGTCATACGATTTACCTATTTACATACTATTGATTTGAGCCTGAGTTATGATGTACTCCAACTCCAATGTCAGTCCCATGAATTCATTCCTTCATTTGGCAAGCACTTATTATCTTACTGTGTGAGTCACTGCTGGTGATTGTGACATTGGTGGGAAATATACATATAGACCAGATAAGAGTCCTATATTTTCTTTCTTCATATTTTTATTGAATTTTATGCATTTCATACAATATTTTTGCTTATATTTAGAACCCCTCCCCTATCTGCATCCCTCTTACAGCCCCCTCCTCCACTGGGTTTCATGTACTCTATCATATATACTAAAGCCTATACATTTCCCCAAATGTCCTTCCATGTACCTTCATCCACTGGAGCCTGGTGATCCTATCTAACATGTTTAAAGGAAACCAGCTCTCCCTCTCACAGTAGTTACCAGTTATCAATATTTCCTCAGCTAAAGTTGGGGCTTCCTACCCACTTCTGAAAATTCTGTTTCCTTGTGGACATCCATCATTTTGGTTCTTACAGTATTTTTACCCCTCTTCTGCAATGGTATTATATGGTGTCCTACATTTTATTTGTATTTTGTTTTGCAGTCCTGAGGGTCAAAACCTATGCCTCACACATGCAAGGTAAGTACTCTGTTACTGAGCAACACCTCCAGCAAGCAGTGACCTTCCAGTGCAAGAGACAGATTTATATAATAAATTTATATAAATAAAATATAAATTTATGTAAATATAATGATTTATATAATCGTGAATGGCAAAGCAAAATAAATGCTAACAAATCACTGAGTGTATGGAGACACCAGCAGAATGAGAAGATCTTAAATAAGGGAGCCTTTACCTGGAGTTTAAGAACTGGACTTTGTTCACTGTACAATAAAATGAGAGAAATTTTGAAAGTGAAGAAAGAAGGGAAATGTTTAAAGTTTGAGTAACATAAATTGTCAAATAGGGACTTTGAAAGTCATATATTGTGTGTAATTGTTATGTTTTTCATTTGATTGGCTGAAATCATATTCATTCATAAGAAATCATAGTCAAAAGATTTAAAGATGGCTTTTGTGTCATCCAGGTAGAACATCCTGGGAAGGAGGAAATACAAAATATTCATTTAATATTTTTATTAAATTTGTTTTGTAACCAACCATCTAATATTAAACAACAGTGGAGAAGGACTAGATCTAGTGATGGAATTAATTTAGTAGAGGAGGAGGAGGAGGAGTAGTAGTTGTCGTTGTTGTTTTAAAACCTATGATGCAAATGAAATCTGCTGAGTCATATAAGTAGGTGCCCGTGTACATGTGATGAATATAATTTTGTTGTCTATAATTTTGATATAATAATTACTTTCATGGTCACACAAATTCCTGCCTAAGCAATTTGTTCTCTCTTTCTACCTTTAGAAAATATGAACGCTGGTTTTGGTGTCTGAAGCAATGGATGGAATGAATCGCTCTATAGTATCTGAGTTTGTATTCCTGGGACTCACTAATTCATGGGCGACTCAGTTTCTACTCTTTTTCTTCACCGTGTTGTTCTACCTTGCAAGCATGATGGGCAACCTTGTCATTGGGTTCACTGTAACCTTGGATGCTCATCTGCACTCTCCCATGTATTTCCTCCTGGCTAATCTCTCAGTCACCGATATGGCATTCTGCTCAATTACAGCTCCCAAGATGATTTATGATATTTTCAAGAAACACAAAACCATTTCCTTCTGGGGATGTATTACACAAATCTTCTTTAGCCATGCTGTTGGGGGCACTGAGATGGTGCTGCTCATAGCCATGGCCTTTGACAGATATGTGGCCATATGTAAGCCTCTCCACTACTTGACCATTATGAGCCCACGAGTATGTCTATTTTTTTTAGTCAGTTCCTGGATCATTGGCCTTATCCACTCACTGGTGCAATTAGTGTTTGTGGTAGATTTGCCTTTCTGTGGCCCTAATACACTTGACAGTTTTTACTGTGACCTTCCCCGACTCCTCAGACTTGCCTGCATGAACACTCAAGAGCTTGAGTTCATGGTCACTGTCAACAGTGGACTCATTTCTGTGGGCTCCTTTGTCTTGCTGGTCATTTCCTATATTTTCATTCTGTTCACTGTTTGGAAACACTCTTCTGGGGGTTCATCTAAGGCCCTGTCCACGCTCTCAGCACATGTCACTGTGGTCATCTTGTTCTTTGGGCCACTGATGTTTTTCTACACATGGCCTTCCCCAGCATCACACCTGGATAAGTATCTTGCTATTTTTGATGCATTTATCACTCCCTTTTTGAATCCAGTCATCTATACATTCAGGAACAAAGACATGAAAGTGGCAATGAGGAGACTGTATAGTCGTCTTAAGCACTATAGAAAACAGCTTGGCTGTGAAGATGGAACTAGAGATGCTTGATTGTGGTCACTGTAGAAAAGGCACCTGAAATTTCAGAGAGGTACCAAAGACTTATGTATGTTACATGCCCAGAAATCTACTATCTGTTAAATTATGGCATCTTTTTCACCATTAGACTAGAAATGGTGTTAATGTTTCATACTCTGTACATTGAAGTATTAAAGATCAACTCATGTGTCTTTTGTAATTTGCTATTGTGAAAGTTCATGCTCTAGGAAAATGTCATATTATGGAGCAAAGAATAAAAACTTATCAATTTCGGTAGTGGGCAGATTATTCCATTAAGAGATAAATTATGCAACCATGCCATCTTTACCCCATTCACTAGCTAAATTGATTTTAATTTTTTGTTTCTGTTACTTTCCAATGCTCTAGTCCCTATACGTTTTGCCTCCTTATCAGGCTTCAGAATATTAGAATTTAATGTTAGAGTGAATTAGCAACACCATTCATTCTAATCTCCTCATTATACATGTTAAAATAAAGAATAAATTTTAAAAGAGAGATGAATGGACCTTGCCCCAGAGAAAAGTATTGTGAAGTCATCAGGGAGAGCCATGCACAAGAACCATGATGCTAGTTGCTGTCAGTACCTTTTGTTTTCCAATCAGTTGTATATTTTAATTTATGTTCATGTTTCACTCCTTAGCTTTTCCTCTGGGCCTAATTTTGAGTAAGAGAGTTTTGCAGCTCCTCTGTATTCTTTCCTCCCTGTAAAGTCATTTGCATTTGGCATGTCATAGTCATTTCCATCTCCTTCCCTAACTTCTACCAACACCATACTTTTCCTTGCTCTGGCCCTACAAAAGGCAACTCTTAAACCATTGCTTGAATTATGAAAAAAGTAAACCTCAGCCAGGTGTGGTGGTGCACTCTTTTAATCCCAGCACTCAGGAGACAGAGGCAGGTGGATCTCTGTGAGTTTGAGGCCAGTCTAGTCTACAAGGTGAGTTCCAGGCCAGCTACAGGGAGACCTCATTTTTAAACAATATTCTTTGTCTACAGTAGTGATCTCAAAGGCTCTTAAACAAAATCTACTACATAAAACTAAAATCCTCTGTACAGTTAAATAGATAATGCTTCCTTTTTGCCCCTTAAATTACCAACATTTAATCTGTCTTAAAGTGTTCATGATGGGCTGGAGAGATGGTTCAGTGGTTAAGAGCATTGACTGCTCTTGCAGAGGACCCGGGTTCGATTCCCAGAACCCACATGGTGGCTATGAACCATCCTTAATTCCAGTTCCAGGGGAATCCAAAGCTCTCTTCTGACCTCCGAGACATTGCACGACATGGGTGCACTCACACACATGCAAGCAATACACTCATACACATAAAATAAAAATAGTAAAACATTTTTTTAAAATGTTCATGTTATAAATTTCTGAAATTTGCTTTGCTAACTGTTCAATTTGTCAATTGTTTTTTCTACGCCATTCTCTTTTTTGGAGGGTTAGGGGCTTGAGACAGGGTCTCCTTGTAGCACCAGCTTGCCTAGAACTCACCATGTAGATCAGACTGGCCTTGATCTCACAGAGATCCACCTGCTTCTGCCTCCAGAGTGCTGGGATTAAAAGTATGAGCCACCACAGCCAGCCTACACCATATTCTTTGGATGGCCATGATTTAGTAAGTTTTAGCATCTGAAAAGGTCAGCTTCTTATATTTTTCTTAATCACTTTAATGCATATTTTGTTGACATTAATCATGCATATTAATGGCACATGCTGTTAGTCCCATACTTGTGTACAGCATGGATTGATTGTACATTCTTTTTCAGGAAGACAGGATTGGTCAAATGCATATTCTGTGTAAACCACATAAAATCATTAGGACTCTGAAAAATTAATAGAAAATAAGATACTAGTCAAATGTATGTGAAAGTACTTTTTGTTTAACACTGGTACAGCTTGTTATCTAACATGGTTGCTAAAGATTAGGAAGGACCCTGCCGATTGGTATCCCCTTCATAGAATAATGGAATTACAATTACTTCTAATCATTTGTGTCTACAGGCAGAGACAGACAAATTACCTGGACGCTCACAGTCTGCAGTGTGGCAGAAACAACCTTCTCAACCAGGTGGAAGGAAAGAACCAGAAATTGTCCTCTGACTTACATATGCATGCCATGGCATATGGGGACACACACACACACACACACACACACACACACACACACACACTACAAAATGACTTTCAAAAACAAAAAAAAAAAAGGACTACCATACCATCAGTTATACCTCTCCTGGGTACATACCTGAAGGAATCTTCTTCAGCCTACCACAAAGATACCTGCACATTCATTTTTGTGGCACTATTCATAATACCTAAAATATGAGAGCAATCTAGTTACCCATCAAGAAATGGATAGTGAACATAATTTAATATGTTCATAAATTTATGTAATATAAATTTAATGGGATATTATTCAGCCACAAAGAACAATGTAATCCTGTCGTTAGCTACAAAACAGATGGAACTGAAGGACTTCATGTTAGGCAAATAAGCTAGATACAAGAAAGACAAGCTCCTCATGTTCTTTCTCTTATGTGCAAAGTCAAAAAAATAACAACGTTGACCTGAAAGTCAAAGAGTGATTATTAAAGATGTGGGAATGAGGAAACTGAATTTTCCAGGGCTCATCAAATATTTTGTAACTATATCTTAAACCCCAACTATCTTTTCTTAAATAGGATCTCATGTAGCCTTGAACTCACTATGTAGTTGAGAATGACTCTGAACTCCTGATCCTCTTTCCTCTACCTCCCAGTTACTGGGATTACAGGTATGCAGCAACATGCCCAGCAATTCCAACCACCCTGATGAACAATAGGTTTAGCTATGGCAGAAGTGTGTATTCTTACTGATGAAAATACAATAGAATTGGGGCTACACCAGGAAGTATTTTCACCTAATGGAAAAACTGAGATCAGGCTATTGCTTTGAACTTTTAGTATCTTCTTATTTAATGCTAAAAATAAGCTCCTGCCACAAAGAGTTCAAACACTAAAAATTACCCGTTTCATCAACAGTTATTCTAATCATCCATTAAGTGACTCAAGTGTGCTTGTAGAAAATGGTGTAATTGGCTGGGCATGGTGGCACATGCCTTTAATCCCAGCACTTGGGAAACAGAAGCAGATCTCTGTGATATCTAGCCCACTCTAGTCTATTCAACTAGTTCCAGGTCAGCTGAAGCTACCTGTCTCAAAATAGAAGAAGAAGAAGAAGAAGAAGAAGAAGAAGAAGAAGAAGAAGAAGAAGAAGAAGAAGAAGAAGAAGAAGAAGAAGAAGAAGAAGAGGAGGAGGAGAAGGAGGAGGAGGAGGAGGAGGAGGAAGAGGAGGAAGAAGAAGAAAATGATGTGATTGGTATAAGATGAGCAACAGAGAAGCATTTAAAAGCTAAATTACAAATTCCATTAGAAGTTCATCCACAAGAAATTAATTATAAAACACAAGGTACAGTCTAATAGTATTTGGAGTAAACATGAAATTGATCACATATAACTGTTATTTTGTAAATTATATTAGTTAATTCTTTTAAATAGTATTTTCCAGTTAGCAAAGTCTGTTTTCAGAATTATAGTGGAAGAGAGGAGCCTTATAAAATGGGAATCGAGTCCTACTTTACAGGGACTAAGAAATCCCTTGTGAAAATCAACATTTGGTCAGGAGGATTCTTTGTTGAAGGGCATCCATCCTGTCCACTGAAGGATGTTTAGTAGCATCTCTATTCTCTGCACACTGAATGCCATTTAACATACCTTCTGCTATGACAACCAAAATTAAATGAAGTATTACCAAATGTTCCCTAGAGGGCAGTCACCGCCAGCAGAGAAGCTTTGCTCCACAGTGGGGGCTTCTTTTAGCGGCCCAAGTGGAAGAGAATAAAAATGAGAAAAGCTAATGTTCACGTTGAATACATTCAGGTTAGGGAATAGATGTATGTCATATTTAAAAGTATACCTATATTATTGTACTTTTTACAATTTGTCATGTTTCTTAAATTTGAAAGATTAGGATACCTCCATGCTTAAATTCTGGATAATAATGAATAAAATAAAATTTTCTTATAAAACTAAAATATAAATAAGTTAATTTTTTCTTGTAAAAATTTCCCATAGATCAGAGTATGTCACTTGCCCCACATGTAGGAGGCTCTGGCTTTGATCCCCAGCACCACAAAAGAAAAAAAATTTTTAAAGACCTTCGGCATGAGGTCTTGAAATATGCACATTCCTCTTTACCATCAGTCTTTGGTAAAAAACAGTATTATGACATGATCAATTTTTCCTCACATTTTCCTAATACTCTTTAGTATAATTATATCATTTGTAATCACAAAGTTCTGTTGAAAAGAAAAACCCAATAGGCATGATGGCACATATCTGTAATCCAAGAATTTGGGAGGCTGAGGCAGGAGGATTTCTGTGAGTTTAGGGCCAGCCTGGACTACAGCAAGTATGAGGTCAACCAGGCCTACATAGAAAAACCTTATCTCAAAAAGGGAACCCTCAGGGACTGGAGAGATGATTCAGCAGTTAAGAGCACAAGTTGCTCTTGCAGAGGAACAAGGTGACATTGTGACAAGAACCACAAAATGACTAGCAACCATATGTGACTCCAGTTCCAGGTGATCTGATGCCCTCTTCTGGCCCCTGAAGACATTGCACAACAGGGGTGCACTTACAAGCAGGCAAAACACGGAATTTTTTAGTATGCTTTTTTCTCTCTCTCTTTTTTTCCCCATGAATTATGGCTGCCTTCAGTTTATGAGATATTGCAGGGGAGAAGTTTACAGATTCTTTGGTCACATTATTCATACTTGACAACACCCATCAGAGCACATTATATATCAATTTAAGCTCAGGCTAAAGGAATAGTTTTCACAAACTCTTTATCCAGTTTTCTGCATTCCCACTGCCCGCTTAGAAGAGCACCCTTTCAGTTCCACCTCCATGATAGCACAGAATCCCACCACAAGCATTAAAGCCAGTTT